TCTTTTTTGTTTGATAGTCTTAAATTATCTGCAGTTTTTTTCTTAAGCTTTTTCTTTTTTTTGTTTTGGTTTTACCGGTTCTTGTTGCCATTTGAAACAAAACAATAGAAGAGAAAAATTATCTGTATTGATTATATATATCTACATGTTTAAGAAATATGTAGGTTGGGTTTTTTTTGATTCTACAGTGTAGCTTACTGCGCGGGTCCTTCATATGTGCGCGTGTTTTTTGCAGAAAAAAAGAGCAGAATAGAAGGTACGAAGAAGTATTTGAGGAAAAAAAAGCAATTTTTGAATGCTTTGAAATCTGAGATTATAGCGACAGACTTGTATCACGCGTTCATTGTTTTATGTTTTGCTTGTTCACTTGTTGCTCCCAAATCCGCAATTTGATGATTCTCTGGAACAGAAAAAAAGTTTAAAAAAAGAGAAAAAAAGCAAAAAAAAAAGTAGAAAAAGTAAAAAATAATACACTCGCTAAGCGCCGACTCTCTAGACAAACAAAAATCTGTTTGTAGCAGTGGCATGCCTTTTCGGGTCCAGAATTGCCCACTGATCTCCAATTAATCTTTTCCTTTTCTTTTTTTTTTCTTTTATTTACAGTAGACTTTCATCTGTATCTTTTCCTCATTTCTCATTTTAGTTGTCTTTACTTCTGATTCTTGCTATATATCTTCTGCTTGTATTTAATTATTATTATTATTATTATTATTTTTTTTTTTTTTTGCAAAGTGAAAGAAAGCAACGAAATTGAAAAGGGCTTTATTGAGAAAAAAAGTAAGTGGTTGAAACAATGACTGCCACTGTTATTTGTATAGACGACTAATTTTTTCCTCAGAGGTTGTCAAAACCGACAACATCAGGAAGTACTAACTAAACTAACTTAAAAAAGAAGTTGGATCTAAGCGTTGTGTTTATCATTGTTATTTTCCTAAGTTTTGTTTTCTATCACTAATTTTATTATCTACTTCCTGCATTTCGTCATCTTTTGTTCATGTTCAACACCATCTTTTGAGAACCGTCTGTCTCTAATTAGTGAAAGCGATTGTGCTTTTTTCATCTGGGGTGAGTCATCATGCGTTTCTTTCTAATGTTTCTTCTCTTTATTCAGTTTACTCTCGTGTCGTACTCATTCATTCGTTAATTCATTCATTTATAATTCAACAATCCAATCACTGCGTACATTCTGGTGATCTGTGCTTCAGAATCCTCTCATCATCCAATTGCTTCTGTGTTTCCTATGTAGCGGGTGCGATTTCTTGTGTCGCCAGCAAATGTTTCTATTTTTTTCTCTCAGTTCACCGTCCCAGGCGCGGAGAAGGATTTTATGCATATTTTTTCAATATGGGGCGAGTTTGAGATCTTTTTTTATGTCTTGGTGTTGTTCCTTTCTTTCTTTATGTAAGCCTAGCTATATTTAAAAAGAATAAGAAAGTTCTACGGCTACTTCCAATACTGCGTCATCATCATCATCATCATCATCATCATCATCATCATC